CGTGGAACCATGAGCTCTGGAAGATGAGGGAGGACCTGATGGAGAAGAGAAACGAGGAGCAGATCAACCAGCACAAGTTTGAGATTGCAATGAGGAGCAAGGAGGAGATGAGCAAGGAGAGGAGAGAGTTGAAAGGGCTGGCGGAGAGGATGCTCAGGGGAGAGGTCAAGTGGGATAACGGGGTGGCCCTGGATCCCAAGTGGGATTCTGTGCTGAAGGAAGCGCAGAGGAAGGATGCTGCCGCCTGAGAGGATAGGCGGCGGAGGGGAGCAACACAAAGCTGGGCAGTGGAAAAAAAAATAAGGTTTCAGTCGTATGGGACTGGACGTGGAGAGTAACGCGTCAACGTCGACTGCGTGAGCCATGTACGATACGCAGGCATATCTGTATATTACTGTAGCCAATAGAAGGCAAAACCGGGTGGCGCCGGCACTATAAAACGAACAAAGTGGTTCTTGTTCTTGATGTGGGAACAAATGATTCAAAGGTACGGTATGGGCAGATTCAACATGATTGCTCCCAGTACTGTTGGCCTTGAAAATGGAGGACCTGGTCTCCCCAACTCCACCAGCCGGCCGTGAGGTTGCGGGCGAATATCTCTAGGCCAGCATAGTCCTGTTGCCCCAGGACATCTTGGAACAGCAGCCGCAGATTTGGCTTTCGAGAGTGAACATCTGGCGCGGCGACGATGACCTTGGCCTTGAGACCAGGCGGTGCCGGCACACCGATTGGCTTGGCTATGAGAATCTTCTCCCATGGCTTCCTCCAGACCGACTCAACGTCGTAGAGGGGCTCGCCGGCAGCTGTAATTTTGAGCCACGTCCATTCAGCGACCAATTCTACGCCCCAAGAAGCGAATACCCCCGCGGGGGATGTGAGAAGCTCAGGGATACTAGCCTTGTTGGTGATCCAGACGGCCACCAGGCCATCGCTTGCTAAATGCGCCGAGATGGGTATGCTCGTCAGCAAAGCTCGGATATCATCTAGGTTAGTAGCAGTGGCATATTTATTGCTGCGTCTTCTGGCAGAACGATTTGGCCAGGGAGGGTCAAGAACGACCAGCTTGAACACGGGTGCGGTGTCAGCAAAGACTTGTCTTAGGTCCTGGATGGATCCATGCAGCGGTCTGGCGTCCTGGACAGGTAGCGGAGGCGGTGCATTCACGGCCTCGATGTCGGCAGGTACCTGTTTGCGAGGAAGATGGAACGGGCCGTTGTAGCCGTCGCACATGACTTGCAGAGCACTTTGAACAGCTGCGGCGGTCATCAAATCGGCTATTTGGGCAGCAGGGGGCTGGGCCGGCCAGTCGTGTGCCGCACCGCCATCATGTCCAGACGCATCATGGTCGCAGCGACCGCGACGACCAGCCCGACGTCGACTCCTCTTCGGATCCGGCGTCGGAAAGGGTTCGGTCGGCGGCGGATCCGAGTAGACCCGGCGCAGCAATCGGCAACCAGGCAGGACTTGCGCTTCTTCCAGGGAGCGTGGGACATCTAGCAGGACGACAGTCTTGTCGCTGCTTTGGAAGAGGACGCTCGACGCGGTGGCAGCATCATCTTGTGGCGGTCCAGACATAAGACGGGTTCCCGGGGCGATGGTGCCGATGAGGCCGTTATCTGACATGCAAGAGGTGTGCAATCCGTGTGGGCGAACGTGCAGTCCACAGTTGTGTGGGAAATGGGTGAGGGTAGCAAAAAGTGGTCCAGATCCTTTGGTAACAGGAACTCAGGCCGTTGGGATTGGCTTTCGGCTCAACGAGGGGCTTCGGTAATCCTCGGCTGGAAACGCTTTTGTGGCTCTCGGACGCTGGGGACGCTGGGGACGACGGTTGAAGAATCCAACTGCCTCCGGATGCCCCCAGACTGCTCCAGGGCCCAGGCACGTCATTGGCCAACGGGCCAGGCCAGGCCCAAATGTGCTGCAGGCCAGGCCAGACGTTACTATGACGTCCGCTAAACCCCCAGTGCCATGTCCAAACACGGAGTGCAGAGCCCGATTACAGGCCGCCGGTTCGCTGTTCCCAAGCCGCGAGCCCCCAGATGTCCCCCCAAGTCTCGTGGGCAGCCATAGCCGGGGTCCCGTGGCGTGCCGGAACTTGAAATTCCTCATCTTTTTCATTTCCACTGACAACTTGTCTTTGGCACACACAACCTCTGCTGCTTCCCCCTTCCCCGGCCCACGCTCGGCCACCCTTGTCTATTGTTGCTGATTGAAATAGAGCCAGTCTTGTTCACACAATCTCTTCTCATCGTCGCCATTCCCGTCGACCGAGTCCGCCACATCACTCCTACGCACCCGGGGCCGGCATGCGGCGTCGGTCCTCTGGGACTTCCTGCATCGCAACTTCTCCACGTGCTGTCGGCATCCGGAATGCCCACGTCCTCCCCCCTCATGGACCATGCTTCGATGACGGAACTTGCTCGCGGCAGAGTGCGCCAACATGTCGGAGTGGCTGCCATGGCTCCCGCCGTCGCCAGTAACAGGGACGCGGCTGTGTGTCCCACCGACGACGAGGCCATAACACCCCGAAACAGGACTCGATCCTGGGACTATGTCTGGCGATCTGGTGTCGCCGGGGGGCTCGCAGGCTGCGCTGTAAGCACAATCCTCGAGTGCCAGACAGAGACTCGTGCTGCAAGAATCCGTCTGCTAACTTGAACTGTTCCTTCATCAGGCCAAGACCATCGTCGCTCCGCTAGATCGAGTCAAGATCCTCTTCCAGGCCAGCAATCCCCACTTCGCAAAATATACAGGATCTTCATTCGGCGTCGCAACCGCCATCAGAGACATCTACCACTTCGAAGGTGGCCGGGGACTCTTCAGAGGCCACTCGGCTACGCTGCTGCGTATTTTCCCCTACGCCGGCATCAAGTTCCTCGCTTACGAGCAGATTCGAGCCATGATTATTCCTGGCAAAGAGTACGAAACGCCGCTGCGACGACTCCTCAGCGGTAGTCTTGCCGGCGTCACCTCTGTCTTCTTCACATATCCCCTGGAGCTCATTCGAGTACGGATGGCCTTTGAAACAAAGAAGGACGGCCGCTCGTCTTTGTCTTCCATCTGCAGACAGATTTACAACTCGAGCCCTGTCGAGAAGTCGGCCACGGCAAGACTCCCCAGCGCCCCAGCTCCTGTTGCCGCCGCCGTAGAGTCTACTGCCTCGGTGGCCGGTTCGATTGTCCCCAAGACGGGACTTGTCAACTTTTACCGTGGCTTTGCGCCGACCCTGCTGGGCATGCTTCCGTACGCGGGCATGTCCTTCCTCACCCACGACACCGTCAGCGACTTGATGCGCCACCCCTCAGTCGCCCAATATACGACCCTACCCCGGCGGAAGAACCAGCCCTCAGACAAGCCCGCGCCGCTCCGATCGTGGGCTGAGCTCACGAGCGGTGGTGTCGCTGGTATGATTTCGCAAACTTCATCGTACCCGTTGGAGGTCATCAGACGGCGCATGCAAGTAAGCGGTGCGGTTGGGGACGGTCACAGGATGCGTCTTGGCGAGACGGCCAGACTCATCTTCCAAGAACGCGGATTCCGAGGCTTCTTTGTCGGGTTGACAATTGGCTATGTCAAGGTGATCCCCATGGTGGCAGTGAGCTTTTATACATACGAGCGCATGAAGCTGGTTTTTGGCATATAGACGTCACGATTTGTGAGCTTTCTATTATTATTACTTTTTGGAGGGGGGTGTTGAGGCTTCCTTTGTCTATGTTTCAATGGCGTTGGCGCTAGAGCTGGGCGGTAAAACGAATGGGAATCCGTGGGAGGCAGCTTTGTTTTATGGCTTTGTTGATACAGTGGCATCGTTGGTCGCGATGAAAGCGGCCCGGTTTTGCATACTTTATGAATAGTGCTAGATATTAGTACAGTACAGTCCAGCATGGCTATGGTGGTCCACAAGAATACAATTCGATACTATCTTCTTATTCTAGATGTAGTGTACGTTCCTTATGCGACCAATGTGATGCTACATCTCTCCAAGCCTCTCCGCCAGACTTGCGGAGCAAAGTACTTGATTGATTGACCGCTTAGAATGCCGTTGGCTCGCAAGTCTCGATTACAAGTGAAGAATACGGACCTTGTATCATGAGCCAAGGGGTAGTGGTCTGCTGCTGTGGTTGATCTCGTACGTAGGGGACAGTGGTGGAGCTGTCTGAGACGGCAGTATTTGAGCGGACATGCTATGACTGTATTTATTATTGAACTGTATGATCATCGTTTCTTAGTTCCCTTGCGCTGATGAGATTATGAGTCAGGCCGTGCTTGATATTGCGCTGGTCTAGCGTATCATCTTTGTTGGATGCTACTTCGGCGCTAGAACTGCGTGAGACATTGAGTAAAAGAGAAACTCACTGCTTTTTTTTTTTTTCATATCTTAGACTGAGAGGACCCGCATATTAATGAAGCTCACGATTGAACGAGGAAATATTTAATGGCTGTGCTAATGCGGAATTTGAATTCTGCTGTCAGCTAGATCTTTTGAGGTTGTCATGTTTGTTGAAGGACACACAATCAACATTGAAGTATGACAAAATTAGTCCGCGTCATGCCCCCAAAACGACAAGAGCAGAATACGAATTTGTGAAAAATAAATCACTTTGTTCACGACAAACAAGATAATGGATGTATGGAAATTATTTGAATACTTGTTCATACATTATTGCTGTGTTTATAGAACCACTTACACCCGCACTGTGAGTCCGCGCCAACAGATGCCCCCAGACTAAGTGCTGATTGGTCAGATGACTACTGCAACAGCTCCCAACCCCAGCTCCAAAACTACGTTGGCCAAAAAAGCTTCACCACCTCACAGCCAAACCACCATTGCTGGCCACCGAGGGAATAGCACCGCCATTTATTCCGCCATCTTTATACCCACTCGATGATTTGAATTGACATTTGATCGACCGACAAATCCTCTCCTTCCTCCCCTTCCTCTACCGACCTCTCAACGCATCACCTCTTCTCCCGCCAACCCCATCGCAAGTCCGCCCATCATGGCCTCCGCCGACCACGATCCCCTCGTCCTCCTTCGCAAAGCCATCTCCAGCAGCCAGCCCTTCATCCCCAGCGCGTCAGACGACCCGGGCGCCGAAGAATGTCCGCTCTCCCAAGCAAGCCACTTGCAATTCTCAGCCCAGGGCATCGCCCTCGCCATCGAGACCCCGACGCGCTTCATCTCCAACGACAAACCCGTCGACCTGCGCAGCATCTACTTTGCCTGGCTGAATCGCGAGCTCGCCATCCCAGAGTACAATGCTTCGGCAACGACGCTCAACGAACAGCTCGCGGCGGCCGGGTCGACGGGCAAGGTGCAGAACCTGGGCTTCATCGAACGACTCGACCTGATCACCTGGCTCGAGGCGGCCAGCGAGGAGAGCGAATACATCAAACCCGTTGCCGGGGATGCGGATGCTGCCGCTGCCGCTGCCGTCGCCGCCGGCACGGCTCCCGCGACCAAATCCGGAGCCGTGTCGACCGCGGCGCAGGCCAGGGCCGGCAAGGGCACCATGGATCCGCGCCTGGCGAGCGTCTACGATGGAGAGCGCAGGATGGGAGACCGGAACACGGTACTAAGAGGGATCAAGCCGACAGTACGTATCACAAGTCCAGCGGCGTTTCCCGCAGAGGGGGTCATTCATTCTTTTCTTGTTTTTCCGACCACCAACCCCCCGGCTTGGGCGAGAGCTAACCACCGCACGCAGGACTTCTCGCACGTTCGCAAGCTCGCGGCGCCGTTTATCCAAAAGAAGGCCCAGGCGGTCTCCGCCCCCGGCGCGGCATCCTCCCTCTCCCTCAACCAGAAAGGCCCGACTAGGAGACCGGACCCCATCATCCTCCTCTCGCCGTCGGCCTCGTCGCTCCTCCGCATGTCCAACGCGAGGTCCTTCCTCGAGGACGGCAAATTCGTGCCCCCCGACGCCAGCGCCTCGACAGCCAGCATGCTCCACGTCCAGCGCGTCATCCGGGCCATCGACCCCAACCGCCCCCTGCGCTTCATCCTCGTCGAGGGCTCCGAGCAGTTCAAGCCCGAGTACTGGAACCGCGTGGTGGCCGTCTTCACCACCGGGCAGACGTGGCAGTTCAAGAACTACAAGTGGAGCAGCCCCAACGAGCTGTTCAAGCACACGCTCGGCGTCTTTGTTGGCTGGCGCGGGGAGCAGGCCCCCGAGAGCATCCGCAGCTGGGGCCACAGGGTGCTGTCGACCGGCGTCGATCGATGGCGCGGCGGCGACGGCGCCGACGCTTCTCGCTTCAGGGACAAGGAGGTCGTGGAGCAGATTTGGAAGTCGATTGAGATGAATATGCGAAGCAAAGGCTGGCGATTCGATGCCGCGCCCACGGCGATATAAGGCATGGGAACAGAGCAGTTTTTTTTTGGTTTTTGTGCATCCACGAAACATGTACGTTATATAAACCTCCCCGGGACCTGGACTCCGTTACGGGGGATGGGTACAGTCGTGTCTTATAAAACAGAAAGCGTCGGCGTTTGGTTTTATTTGGGTTCAGAATACTACAAAAAGTCTGAGAAACAGGAGGTGGGCATCCATGGACGATACGATGGTGGACAAGGTACGACGAGGCCAACGTGCTTCTGCATCTGTGTGCCTTGGGAACTGTGTGTGGCCTATTTACTCGCATTTCGTCTTTAATCTTCTGCTGCAATATACCTTTCTCAATGCAGTTGTATCACGGTTAGGACAAAGCTACGTACCCTAGAGTCGTTTTCGCACAGCTCAGTAAAAAATGCAATGTGACGGCAGTTTCGTTACTTTTTGCCACCGCACACCGCCTATTCTCGCGGTCTTGGCAGGCATTCTGTTAGTAGTACAATGTTAGTTCCACCTCATCCCGGAGGTGAAACTATCTATCTCAGCCGGCCTTGGCGGTCCGGCGCAACCCACACCACGAATTCGTAAAGCAGTGCAAACCTACTTCTGGAAAATTCTTTTCTCACGCGACACCAAAGTAGCAAGGGCGCCAGGTATAATCAAATTCTGCATGCGACCGAAAGGAAGAAAGCGAACAGAAGCCAACCGTATTCCCCAAAGCAACGGAGGGTTATTGGCTCGATGAAAGGAGGATTCCGCCTGCGAATGGCTCGGTATTACGCAGTACTGTACGTACATGCAGTATGGCATATTGTAGACTGTCCCGTTGTTCGTGTACACATCTCGTGGTTGTGGTGATGTGGACAATCGAACAATTTTGCATGGAATAGCCCTGCTCCGTCCCCTTTGCCCATCGACCTAGGGGCTTAGAAGCACGCCGCCGGGAGCACAGTCAACGGTCACTTACTTGCCTTGCCTGCCGGTATGATGCGGAAAGTCAGTTTTCCATGCCGAGTGGTATTAATACGAATCACGGTTTCCCGAGATTCATGGGCCCTTCGGCGCTAACAGATTGGAAGGATTCAGCCAGCGCCTGGGCATCCTTGCCGGAGCTAAGCTTTTCAAAGGAAACGTCGGGCTGGTTTTTGCCACGTTTCTTTTTTAATTTCTCCCCAGCTAGCCGCTTACCTATCATGGGGCCATTTATTCTTGTTGTGTCTTGGCTGTCCTTGTTCCTTGTACCTACATGGTGAACTAGCCACGATGACACGCGGATTCCCGTAGTTTTGGGATCCCGTAAAGGCGTCAATCAGGGCTTTGGCTATGCCCCTGTGTTTGCGGGCCGGCTGTGGGTTGTAGTGAGCGTCCCAGAAATACATGCAAAGCAGCGTTTTTTCAAGTTGAGCAATTGCGGAGGATCCCAGTTCGTGACCTGATACTATCCTGAAGCAGACTTGCATATTGTAGACCGGATGGCATGCACACGAGCCTGGATCTCAGAATGAATCAGCCGAGCAGCGTTGGCCAGCCGGGAGAGACTTGTAACACAGTGTGCTCTTGTCAATGGTTGTTTTTCCTTTTTTTTTTCCTGCCTGGAATAAATATAGGAGCGGGGCGCGTCATTGTAAAAGGAGGCTAGGAAATAAGAAAGGGACCAGCCCAAGGTGCCTTTGACAACGTCTCCGATGTTGGTAGATACAGCCGTGGGACATGAAAGACAGGTGCTAGGTGACATGGTGCGAAAGTATTTCATCAGAGGAGCTTGCAATTTTCAGAATTGCCACCCGTAGCAAGCAGTTATTGCTCACGGGACTTTGACCATATATTTCACCATCCAAGACGTCATCTACACAAGATGTATACTGTATGTTCTCTCAGGTCAAACTGATGGTGTCCGTTGCATCGAGTTCAGCTGAGTCTGCACTCTGTAGGCGTGTGGAAAAGAAGATGAACTCGCCCCGGCGAGCATATCAAGGATCATCCTTCCAGTGTATCCTTGTGAAAGCGGGCTGGCAGCTTCGTCTGCAGTTTCAACCATGCGAAGTCTCGGGCCGGAGTCGAGGTTTCATTTGAGTGACAAATTGGGCTGGATAGATGGCAACGACATTTGCGAATACTAACCCGCCTGCGTAGCACAGTAACATCAATAGCAGCTATCAACGCAGAACCACTGGTTTGTTGGAGTTGCTAATTGCTTCCCGGATGTGGCGTTCATTAGGAGAAGACGCGCGGGAAGTCGCGTCTGGTAGTAAACACGCTTGTTAGGCTCATGCTATCGTTTGCTTTTTGCCCTGATGACTCCCAATGATCTTGGTTAAAGCAAGTGACGGCCCGGAACCGATGCGGAAAGTTTATCGTTTGACAATGGGGCCATGCGATCTCATCGACTTGAACTGAAGCTACACTCACGCCTCCGGTGGGATGCAAAGTAGTACAGCCTTCAAGGTGCAATATCCACCAACCTCATGGCCTTGTTGTTGAAAATGACAGATAATGACGGCGACATCATGAGATTGAAGCCGGCCGAGGTCCACTTTTTTAACAAGACCATTCATTGTTCGGCACCGGACAGCCCGAACCTTGAGCCTCGGGGGAAGGGATATTCGATACATCTGTGCGAATCGTGGAACAGGGCTTGTATTTCCGGACACCACTTAACGCAGCTTCGGAGATGACGTTTCATTCTGTGGCCTGCATCGCTCGGCGTTGCCCAGATAAGAAATGTGTGAGATGATGTGTTGCATCATGCCACAGCACAGCCCGGGAGGTCCCGTTTGTACACTACCGTCCACTTCACCGTGGACAAAGTGTGGTTTCTTGCACCAGCTATCTGAACCTCTGCGTCCAAGGGGGAAATTGGGCACGAATCGATGGCAAGAGTGTTGGTCAGCAGACGATTCAGTGTTTGACCCAACATCGTGGGTAGGGTAGGTCGTCGGCATTGACGGATGGCAAGATTGCACAAGCGGCATCTGCCACGTGTTCAGGAAATAAGCCGCATCAGCAGTGAACGGGCGCTGGAAACGCTATTATTACCCAGCAGCCCTTGTGAATTGCGGTGGGCGGTGCAGGACTGAGTGGCTGCTGACGACACTGGGAGCAACACTAATCAACAGACCGGACACGACTGGAAGGGGGGGTGTGCGCTTGCTGACCTCGTGGCATGATGCGGAGAAAGGAATGCTCCGCATGCTTCAATGCAGTTGTTCTGCCGGGTAAAACAAAGCTGTTAGCTCCAACACAGGCCTGGACATGTCTCACAAGGTCTTGCCTCGACTTGTATCCTTTACCTCGATTATCTCAATCTGCACCTCTTAGGACTACCGTTGATCCCAGGAACCTAGGCCCGCGTTTCCGAATGCGAAATGACTAATAATAAATCCGCCTGCCGGTCGCCAAGCCCTCATGTCATTGTATGTATGTAGTACCTAGCAGTACTAGCCGCTGGTCGTGGTAGTCCATCTGCTGCTAGTCCTGTCTCGTATGCTGTGGCTGCCTCGCAGGCTCTGGTGTGGTGGCTGGATAGGCTTCACATCTTACTCAGGTCGTGTTTTACCGCCTTGTAGACAGGAAATGGCTAGCCAGATACTTCGTCTTGTCTTCAATGTTCCGTTTGGTAATATTTGCACCCCTGTAAACCAAAACAGTGGACTTGACATTGGTATCGCAGAGCTGCAGGCCCAGAATTCTTGCCCGTGATTCCATTGGCCAAACCCCCTCACCTCGACTCTTGGCCCAAGATTGCCTGCAAGGCACTCGCAGTTCAGTCAGAACTAATAATGAGGGCTCTAATCACATGGGTACGGTGTACCATGGGCAATATTCAACATGGGTTGAAGCAACACTCAATTTTCCATGGGATACTGTGCAGATGTGGTCCGCGACTCCATATTCTTCACATTGTGCTCTGTCCGCCGTGTCACGGTGTGGCGTCGCAGTGGCTGGTTCAAATCCTCGAAACCCTTGCCTGCTAAGGGCGTGCAAGCAGCTTATTCAAGGCGTGTGCGTTGCGTCCTCGTGGCCTTGGTGACGGCGACACATGGCAATGTACTCGATACTTCAGCCGTCAGACCAGGATGTTGGCCTCTGCTCTCTGTCTGGACGCTTGCACCCCCTCCAGAAACCAGCCGGCTGGTTTAACAACCTTCAGGTCTTGCTTTTCGGCACGTTCGGTGGCCGAGTGCGTAATTCATTCTGGTACAGCCGTACGGAGTAGTATGGTTGCCGACCAGATTCAAGGGCAATAAGCTCTGCATTGACGACAAGACTCTTGACAATGTCGCCTGCATCTGGAGAGTGTAGCGCGCCCGCCGTCCTTTATCATGATGGGATCAGATAGAAAGTTGAGAGATATTTGTAATCGATCTCTTGGTGTGTGGGCGGGACTTATCTTGCCAGGGAATTTGTCGAAGGGCGGTGTAGAAACGGATCGATTGATTGCCCGTCCAGCAAGCTAATTTCGTTGGTATCATCAACAAGTGCTTCAGCGGGCAGCCGAATTACAGGTCAATCAACAGCCGCAGCCGTGGTCAATGTGGTCGGGTGTGTGCAACAATGGCCACTAGAGACACAGGGAGACACCTATCGTTTGTTAATTTGCGTATCTTGTCAGCCAAATACTTGTCGTCGGGATATTTGTTATCTATGCGTTTTGCAACAGCATCACTCTTACTATGCACTGGAAGTACTAATGAAATCCAGAGGATGAAGAAGCGGGGTCACGAAGTCGGTGCCATAAACATGGCCTAAGATTGTAGTTTGCAGCAGATTGAGTAAACGGCTGATACCGCATTGCACTCACGGGGGGTTGAGACGTAGTGACGTCTTGTGTTTCGAGGAATGATGGCACATTCCACAGTTCCCAGCAACGTTTGGTTTCGTAACATCACGGCAATCGATTGCGGAGTTGGCGACCTGGAAGACAAAGAACCCTGTACCCCAGGCCGAAATAGTGGCCCTGAGTGCCAAACCATTGAAGACATGCTGGATATTTCTAAAGGAGGTCCAACAGGAGCTTCTAA